TGAAATGCTTCCACAGCTACCGTATTTGGTGTCGAAACATTACTAACTGTTCACAGACCTCAGAAAAATATTTTAGGGAAAGGAAATTGACTGCGAAGAATAATTCAGTGTCGAAACTGAAACATGTACAGGTTATTTTAAAAGAGCGGTATCGAAATGTTAGAATCAATCCATTTTTTCTTGAAGTGGACACACTGATGTGTAAAGTCAGATCTTAACATAAAGTTATTATTCTTTTGGTTATCATACGGACTTATGGACCGATATGTTATATCAATGTAATTGTTGTAGAAAATATGATTTATTCGTAATAAGAGACAAAGTGAAAGATATTGATTATTTACAATATTTTCTAAAAATAACAACAATTTGCAAAATTTTTCACAGTAGCAAATGTTTTATCATCAAAAATTATCTGCATATGAAAAATTATGAAAATAACAAATATCTAAAGTGATTTAATTCACTGGCATTCTGCTTGGCATGAACTATTCAATTTTATTAATAACAAAAGAATAGCTGTGACTTTACTATGACCTATTGCCATAAAACTCAAACCTACATAATGAAAGAAAAATATTCTTCAACTAAAAAAGTGGTATAACCTTATTTATACGCTTAAATTAAAAATATTTTTAGCTGATACAAAATATAGTAAAGATATAAAACAAATTAAATCTATTTTCACAAGCTGTGCTGTGGGATCTTTAGCTCGAAATCGATATGTGATATTATTTTTATATGCAAAAGACAAGCCAACAGTTTTTTATATTAAAAAATTTAATAAAAAACCAAACAAATATAAATGAAGAACCCAGCATAACAATAATAATAGTTACAAGATAGAAGTGGCGATAACTGAACACCTACATGGATATAAAAATACAATAAATACATATACCATTTATGTACTCCTTATATACATTAGTAGGAACCATATTTGTTCTTTGCACACATGCGTAACAAGTATTAAAGAGATGCAGTATTGGAGTAGTTGAATCAAGTTAAGTATTCCCATTGCAATACGTCCGGGACATGTCATCTTGACATAATTCAGATTTAGATTTACGTATCCATGCCTGTACAATGCCGGCACTTAAAAAACGTAAAAACAAAACAATAAAAAAGTTACAAATTTCTTATTTCACGCCTTTCCGCAAGACATGAAGGCAAAATTCTATAAGTTTTCTCATGTGACAAGGAATGCAAAACTTACCCATATAGGAGCTTGTATGAAGAATGTACCCTTGAGCTCATACTACAACAAAAACTACAATTCCAACAACAATGTTGCAGGCAACAAAAAACTAAATTCCCTCAGGGAATCATTTGCAGGCTTATAACTGTGCAATATTAGATTATGGAAATTTTTATTGACAATTCTTATAGGAAATTTGTTCAAGCAAAATATACGGCTGCACTGAGAGAAATTCTAGTGTGAAACATTTTCATAAAAATTTTAGTGCTGAACTTTGTCAGTACACACGAAATATATTACAGAGTTTTACGGAATTTCAATATATGTGTAAGCTGTAAATAGGAGTAATATAAAATTAAAGTGAATTGGTTTCTTCTTACTTTTACTTTTCAGCGGTGACGTACTCCAAAAATTTATGTGGTGTTAACAGGATAAAAAAGATGTGGAATCCAGTAATCACTTTCTATATCTTTAGGACTATTGACGACTGTCAGTAACTTCATTGGCATGGCAAGGATAACGAAGATGGGCTAGTCGGAACTCATTAATAGCATCTGGAAGAACAAATAGTTTAACAATGATAACACATAGATATATAATGAAAGCGTTAATAATTGCAGCTGGCCTTTCTCCAGTAATTTATCAACATCACAATCAACAATAAATGTTTACCAGTGTCCTTGTCATTGGCATGGCAAGGATAACGAAGATAAACTAGTCGGAACTCATTAGTAGCATCTGGAAGAATAAATAGTTTAACAATGATAACACATAGATATATAATGAAAGCGTTAATAAGTGTAGCTGGCCTTTCTCCAGCAATTTATTGACATCACAATGAACAAAAAATGTCTCCTAGCGTGAATGTATTAACACCCCAATGCTTGTGCCTAACCGCGTACTTCTTGGTGTACACACATTTTCAATGATATAGTTTAATCTATGCTCAAACGCAATAATGAACGTTCTTAATACAACAACAAAAGATCAAATTTTAACTTAAACTTATATATATTTTTCTAAGCAAATAATATTACAAAAATTATGTTAACAATACTATTTTGATTAGAATACTTTTCAGGATATATTTTCGATGTGCCTATTAGATCCTCTCTAGCATCCCTTAATACATTTTCAAAATCGAATTTTATTGTAAAGTGTAGTGAAGAATTGTAAAAAGTTCATTTCTATTTTTTTGTGAATGTTTCC